TGAACATACTTCTGTATTAGGGAGTGTAAGTAGGTAGGAGCAGTGTTATGTGGAGATGTGTAAGCAAGTACCAGAATTTAAATTGAGCCCTATATCTTACAGGAAGCCAATGTAGGTACTGACAGATGGCAGAGGTATGGGTGGTGCTGGAAGACAGGATGTGAGCCTTGCTACCACATTCATTAAAGACTGTAATGGAGTTGGGAAGACATAAGACTACTAAGAATCAGATTGCAGTAGTCAAGGAGAGAGAAGATAGCAGCCTGGACCAGAACCTTAGGCATTAAAAAATAGGGGTGATGTACGTTATGTTTTTTAGATGGAAGCATCAGGATTTTGCAATCAACTGGACATAAGGGGTGAAGGAGAGATGGAGTCAAAGAGAACAGCTACGCAGCGACCCTGTGAGATAGAGCTGATGGTTGTGCCATTGACTTGGAGGAAGACAGAGTAGCAACACTTGATGGAGGAAAGACAAGACGTTTTGGATAGGTTAAGTTTAAGGAAGTGAGCATACATTGAGTTAGAAATAGCAGGGAGGTGGTCAGAGACAATTCAAGAGGGATGGCAAGAGGTCTGGAGAGGACAGATAGAGTTGCTTGATCCAAGGAGAGATCTGACTGCCATTCTGTGATCAAGAAGGAATTTGTTACTAGATTGTTGCAAAATTGGGAACAGGGCCGGCACTTCCTATAGGTGACTTAGGCAGTCTCCTAGGGCACCCCTTAAGGAAGGGACACTGCCAGAAGTGCCAGCCCCTCAATTGCTGCTGCCGCCTAAGCACTCTATAGAGAACCTCAGGCAGCTGGAGGGCACACCGGCCCGGGCGCACAAGAAAAGAGGGCTCAGCAGGAGGGAAGAGCACAGCGCTTCCAGCTGCTTCACATTCCCCCAGAACATTGACTTTGTTAGAAAAGACAGAGAAGGCAAGAAAAGAAGAGGGGTGGCCCTGTATGTGAAGGGTAGCATAAAATCTAGCCTAATAAAAAGTTAGTGAGGCAAAGATAGAGTACGTTTGGGTTACGTTAGAATTTGGTAATCACACAGTAACTTGGTAGGTGTTTATAGGCCCCCAGGACAAATAGAAGAGTTAGATAATCTACTAGTTGAGGAAATAGCTAAAATGACAATGAAGGGGGAAGTTATAATCATGGGTGACTTTAATCTTCTTGATGTGATTTGGAAAACCAAAATAGCTGCTTGTGCTAGGAGCACACATATTCTAAATTCCCTACTGGAATTGTCTCTAAAACAAGTCATTGAGGAGCCAACTCGTTAAGAGGCCATACTAGATTTAGTGTTAACAAATGGAGATTTGGTATCAGATATTACTGTAGGCGAAAGTTTAGGATCCAGTGATCATCAGTCAATGTGGTTTAATATAAGAACAGTGACTGAGTCATACCACACAAAAACAAAAGTTTTAGACTTTAGAAAAACTTTTCCAAAATTAGAATATGTGTAATGGAGTCATTATCAGACTGGAGTAATTTAAATGGAGTCCAAGGGAAATGGGATTATTTAAAAAAGATGCACTGCTGAAGGCAACAGAAAATTGCATTAGGCTTGTCAGTAAAAGCAAAACATTTAAGAAACCACGGTGGAACTCCACAGATGTGGCCAAAATAGTAAAAAAACTAAAAGTTAGCATTTAGTAATTATAAGAAAAACAGAGTGAGGAAGATAAACAGATCTATAAGATTAGGCAGAACGAGCTTCCAAATTACACACAGAAGAGAAAATAGCACAGTCAGTAAAAAAGGAGACAAAACATGTTTTAGATACATAAATTAGAAAAGTAAAGTAAAACAAGGATTAGTTAGATTAAAAACAAAAGAAGGCAGATATGTAGAAGAGGATAAAAGTCTAGCTGACTGCCTTAATGAATATTTTTGTTCAGTATTTAGAGATGAAAATGGAGGAAAGGGACTTCAGTTAGGAAAAAGGACAAATGAGAAATTAGTTACATATGAGTTTACAGAGGAAGAGGTTCTATTTCAACTGTCAAAAGTAAAGACAAATAAGTCGATGGGGCCTGATGGAATACACCCAAAGTAATTAAAAGAGCTTAGTGGTGTACTAGCAAAACCAACAACAGATCCATTTTCATAATCAAAGATTTATTTTTAACTACTGTTAACAGTAGTCCAAGAAGATTGGAAGTTAGCAAATGGTGTGCCCATTCACAAAAAAAGTAGTAGGGAGAAGTCGGGCAACTATAGGCCAGTAAGCCTTACTTTAGTAGTGGGGAAATTAATGGAAACTATGTTAAAGGATAGGATGTTTGAACATTTAAATCACATGGATTTCAAGATCAGAGACAACATGGGTTTACTTCAGGGAGATAATGCCAAACTAATCTTATTTAGTTACATAGTTACATAGCTGAAAAGAGACTTGCGTCCATCAAGTTCAGCCTACCTCACATTTGTTTTTTGCTGTTGATCCAAAAGAAGGCAAAAAAAACCAGTTTGAAGCACAATTTTGCAACAAGCTAGGAAAAAAATTCCTTCTTGACCCCAGTATGGCAGTCAGATTTATCCTTGGATCAAGCAGTTATTACCCTACATTGAAAGATTATATCCTTGAATATTCTGTTCTTGCAAGTATGCATCTAGTAGCCGTTTGAACATCTGTATGGACTCTGAGAAAAACCACTTCCTCAGGCAGAGAATTCCACATCCTGATTGTTCTTACAGTAAAAAAACCTTTCCTTTGCCTTAGGCGAAATCTTCTTTCTTCCAGTCTAAACGCATGGCCTCGTGTCCTATGTAAAGTCGGGTTTGTGAATAGATTTCCACACAATGGTTTGTATTGGCCCCGAATATATTTGTATAATGTTATCATATCCCCTCTCAGGCGACGTTTTTCTAAACTAAATAGGTTTAAATTTGTTAACCTTTCTTCATAGCCGATATGTTCCATTCCTTTTATTAGTTTTGTAGCCAGCCTCTGCACTTTTTCTAGTGCCATAATATCCTTCTTTAGAACAGGTGCCCAAAATTGCACAGCATATTCAATATGGGGTCTTACCAGTGATTTATAAAGAGGCAAAATGATATTCTTGTCCCGAGAATGAATGCCCTTTTTCATGCATGACAATACCTTACTGGCTTGGCCACTGCTGATTGACATTGCACATTGTTGCATAGTTTGTTGTCGATAACAATTCCCAAGTCCTTTTCATTAAGGGTATACGTTGCGTGTGTATTCTTTACGCCGAAGTGCATAACTTTGCATTTTTCAACATTAAATTTCATCTGCCATTTGAGTGCCCAGTCCCCCAGTCTATCTAAATCCCTCTGCAGCAAAGTAATATCTTGCTCACATTGTATTGTTTTACAAAGTTTGGTGTCATCTGCAAACACTGAAACATGACTTTCAATGCAGTCTTCAAGATCATTTATAAACATGTTAAATAGAAGGGGTCCCAGAACAGACCCCTGAGGGACACCACTTGCCACCTCTGTCCAGCTTGAAAATTTACCATTTATGACAACTCTTTGTACTCTGTTTTTAAGCCAGTGTTCTACCCAAGAACAAGCATTTTCATCTAGACCGATTTCCTTGAGTTTGAACACTAATCTATTGTGTGGAACTGTATCAAATGCCTTGGCAAAATCCAAATAGATCACATCCACGGCAAAATCCAAATAGATCACATCCACGGCAACACCCTGATCTATACTTCTACTTACTTCTTCGTAGAATGCAATCAAGTTAGTTTGACATGACCTGTGCTTCATAAAACCATGCAGATTTTTTCTGATAACCATGTTCTTCTCAAGGAATTCTTGAATATTATCCCTTAATAACCTTTCAAATATTTTCCCAGCCACAGAAGTTAAGCTCACAGGTCTATAATTTCCAGGCAAGGATTTTGAACACTTTTTGAATATAGGAACCACATCTGCCTTCCTCCAATCCTCCGGAACACTTCCTGAAAGAAAAGAATCTTGAAAGATTAAAAACAGAGGTTCACTTATTTCTGCACTTAGTTCCTTAAGTACACGTGGATGGATACCGTCAGGCCCTGGAGCTTTGTTTATATTAACTTTCTTTAGTTGCTGCAGCACCTTGTCTTGAGTTAACCAATTACAATTATTCTGCAAGTTTTTAGTAGCAATCATTTGCACATCTATTGCCATGGGTTCTTCCTTAATATATACGGAGGAGAAATAGTTATTTAAAACTCCTGCCTTTTCCTGGTCTTCATTAACTAACACCGTTTTTAGTGTACCTACACTTTCATTTTGTTTTTTTTAGAATTGATGTACTTAAAAATGCTTTGGGGTTGGTTTTGCTCACTTCAGCTATCATTATTTCATTTTGAAGTTTAGCAAGTCTAATTGCCTTTTTGCACGCATTATTTGCATCCTTGTATCTTTTATAAGATGCATCTGATTTGTCCGATTTAAATGCTTTAAATGCACTTTTCTTAGTTGTAATCTCTTGTTTTACTTCTCTACTAAGCCACATTGGTTTTAATTTGTTTCTTTTATATTTATTTCCCAAGGGTACATACTGAGAAATGTACCTTTTTAATATTTGTTGGAAGATTATCCATTTATCCTCAGTGTTCTTTTCACTAAAGAGTTTATGCCAGTCAATATATTGTAAAGCTTCCCTTAACTTATTGAAATTGGCCTTTTTAAAATTATATGGTTTAGTATTCCCCATGTGCTTTTGTTTTTTTGAGTTTATTTCAAAGGACACTATATTGTGATCACTATTTCCCAAGTGCTCACCTACTTGAATGTTGGTCAAAAGATCAACGTTGTTTGTTAAAACCAGGTCCAGACAAGCATCCATTCTAGTTGGTGCTTGTACAAGTTGTGACATGAAGGTGTCATTTAACAAGTTTAAAAACCTAATTCCCTTTGCTGAGGCACTAGTCCCTCCGTCCCAATTTATATCTGGGTAATTAAAAACTCCAATAATTAAAGTGTTACCCAGATTTGCAGCTTTCTCAATTTGCTCAAACAGCTGTTGTTCCTCGACAATATTAACATTAGGTGGTTTATAACATATCCCAACCAATAGTTGTTTTCCCTTCTTTTCCCCCAAGCAGATATTTACCCATAAAGCTTCCACATTATCCTCCTCGCATTCCATTTGCTTAACATTTGGCTTTAAATCATGTTTGACATACAAACATACCCCACCACCCTTCTTGTTTTTCCTATCCTTCCTAAATAACATGTACCCATTTAAGTTAGCTGCCCAGTCATGTGTCTCATCCCACCATGTTTCAGTTATGCCTATTATATCATATTGTTTAGTGTATGCTAATGCCTCTAGTTCCCCCATTTTGTTATTTAGGCTCCTTGCATTAGTAAGCATACATTTAATATTATGCGTCACTTGTATATTTCGTGAATTTTCACCATTACACAGCTTCTCTGTTCTGAGCTTGCACCTCCCCCCGTTTCCACCCCCCTTATACTGTGCTAAAGCCCATCTCCTTTCTGTCCTATCTCCATTTTGTAGATTGCTATGACCCTCCCCCCCACTACTGGTTTAAAATCTCCTCCAACCTTCTAGCCATCCTATCCCCCAGCACTGCAGACCCTCTCCCATTTAGGTGCAATCCATCACCACTGTAAAGGTTGTACCCAATCGCAAAGTCGGCCCAGTGCTCTAAAAACCCAAAACCCTCCTTCCTGCACCAAGACTTCAGCCACGCATTGACCTCTCTAATCTCCCGCTGCCTTTCCACTGTAGCGCGCGGCACAGGTAATATCTCAGAGAATACCACCTTGGAGGTCCTTTACTTAAGTTTGCTACCTAATTCCCTGAAATCATTCTTTAGGACCTTCCATCTTCCTCTTACTTTGTCATTGGTACCAACATGGACCATGACCGCTGGGTCATCCCCAGTCCCTCCCAATAATCCATCCACTCTGTCAGCAACATGCCGGACCCGAGCACCCGGGAGACAGCAAACTGTCCGGTTGAGCCGATCAGAGTGGCAGATTGCCCAATCTTCTCTCCTAATGATAGAGTCCCCTACCACCACAACCTGTCTTGCCTTCCTTACATTTTGATCCCCACCCGTACTAGGGGGGCTGTTAGCTCGGCTGTTAGAAGTAACAGCTTCCTCTAATACAGCTACTCCTGAGCTGATGCTCCCAACATCTTCCCTCAAACAGGCAAATCTGCTAGGTTGCACCAAATCAGGACTAGCTAGCCCTTTCCTCTTCCCTCCCCCCCTGCTTCCTCGCCCCACTGTCACCCAGCTACATGCCTGTTCCCCATCTGTCTTATCTCCTCCCTCTCCACTACCTGCCCCCACTCAGTGAGCAGTAGACTCCTCTCAAGATTGTCAATCTCCCTCAAAGTTGCGATTTGCTTCTCGAGATCTCCAATCTGAGCTTCCAGAGAAGCCACTCGCACACAACCATCACAGAGGTATGGACCCTGGATGGGTACATCCAGGCATCCATACATGCAACAAGATGTGCATTGAGTCAAACCAGCAGTCTTGCTAACACTCATTTCCCCTTGAAACAGAAAAATAAAAAAAATTACCTTGTTAGTTTAAACCCCTTGTTAGTGTTAACTCCTGGTTTTCTAACTCCTACTTGAAAGAGTCTACTTAATAGAGGCTGCTTTCAAATAATGTGAGCAAGCTCAGTGAGTTAGGGGTGTGCCTTTATGGGGATACAAATCCCACACAGGTGCAATTGATGAACACTCCCCCAATCAATCAAGTAGCAGCACAAAAAAAGGGGGGGGAAACCAGAACACAGAAAAAAAAGAAAATTTAAAAAACAAAAACTTTTTTTCTTTTTTTTTTAAACCTTACCAATTTTAAAGATTAAACAAAAATAAAATACAAACCACTCTCCACAGTATACAAACCACTCCAAGTAACTCCTGGTTTTCTATGATTTATTTGATTGGGTAACTAAGATAATAGACCAGGGTGCTGCAGTAGACAATGCTTACCTAGATTTCAGTAAGGCTTTTGACACTGTTGCACATAGAAGGCTTATCAATAAACTGCAGTCTTTAAGTTTGGATTCCAATATTGTTGAAGGTGCAAGACAGTGCCTGAGTGTCAAGCAACAGAGGGTTGTAGTCAGTGGAGTATATTAAAAGCATGGTCTTGTCACGAATGGGGTATCTCAGGGATCTGTACTTGGACCAATTCTCTTTAATATTTTTATTAGTGATATTGAGGAAGGTCTTGATGGTAAGCTATGTCTTTTTGCTGATGATAGTAAGATATGTAACAGGATTGATGTTCCAGAAGGGATAAGTCAAATGGCAAATGATTTAAGTAAACTAGAAAACTGGTCAGAGTTGTGGCAACTGACAGTTAATGTTTATAAGTGCAAGATAATGCATCTTGGACATAAAAACCCAAGGACAGCGTGCAGAATATTTGATAGAGTCCTAACCTCAACATCTGAGGAAAGGGTTTTAGGGGTAATTATTTCAGATGACTTAAAGGTAGGCGGACAATGTAATAGAGCAGCAGGAAATGCTTGCAGAATGCTTGGTTGGATAGGGAGAGGTATTAGAGGCTCATGCCATTAAATAGAACACTGGTGAGACCTCACTTGGAGTATTGTACGCAGTACTGGAGACCATATCTCCAGAAGGATTTTGATACTTTGGAGAAAGTTCAGAGAAGGGCTACTAAACTGGTTCATGGATTACATGATAAAACTTACAAGGAAAGGTTAAAGGATCTTAACATGTATAGCTTGGAGGAAAGACGAGACAGGGGGATATGATAGAAACATTTAAATACATAAAGAGAATCAACACAGTAAACTAGGAGACTATATTTAAAAGAAGAAAATCTACCACAACCAGAGGACATAGTCTTAAATTGGAGGGGCAAATGTTTAAAAATAATATCAGGAAGTATTACTTTACTGAGAGGGTAGTTGATGCATAGAATAGCTTTCCAGCTGAAGTGGTAGAGGTTAACACAGTGAGGGAGTTTAAGATAAGGCCAGGGACTAATGAAAGTGTTTAGAAAATTGGGCAGACTAGATGGACCAAATGGTTCTTATCTGCCATCACATTCTGTTTCTATTCTAACAAGCAAATGTGCTTCTTTCAAGAGTTTCATGGTACTGTGTATAGATATATAATGAAACTGGCTAACAAAACTTTATTGTTGATAGTCTTTATATTTGGAGGTGTAAAACGCATTGAAGCATAGAGAAGCATTATATTCATATTATCAAATAGGCTGAGCTCAACAATTGATATCCATGCCCAATAAGAAGAGGAGACAGGGTTAGCCAGTGGAGACTGCATGGTGCTGGAGCAGCAGTGAGTAAAACCATGGATATAAATGAGGAGTTCATGAAAAAGAGATATTTGATTCCATTAATAATCACAAAATGGTTACCTTAATATTTGTAGACTGTGAAGTGGATACATACACAGGATAAAATGTATAACTAGAAGTATTCTAAAATAAAAATTGTCTAGAACGTGTAGACAGCCACTAGAGACTGTCTTAGTCCTGCAATGTAAGCATTGCAGTTCCTCCAAAACTGTAATGTTTTACATTGCAGGACTAATGGGTACAGGGGCACTGCATCCAGACCAATTCAATGTGATGAAGTGATCTGGGTGCCTTAAGTGTCCCTTTAAGGAGTTAGTTCCCATTATGAATAAAGATAACCGTAAACATTCATAAATATGGTTTGTGGCAAATGACAACATATTTTATATAATTTTAAATGTCATCTATCACATAATGTTTGACATCATATATACACACAATAAACATATACGTAACTAAATGTACTGTATTATAAGTAAAAGTACCCACCCCTTTTGCTATGATACAGTTGCAAGAAAAAGTATGTAAACCGTTTGGAATGATATGGATTTCTGCACAAATTGGTCATAAAATGTGATCTGATCATCATCAAAGTCACAACAATAGACAATCACAGTCTGCTTAAACTAATAATACACAAAGAATAAAATGTTGCCATGTTTTTATTGAACACACCATGTAAACATTCACAGTGCAGGTGGAAAAAGTATGTGAACCCTTGGATTTAATAACTGGTTGAACCTCCTTTGGCAGCAATAACTTCAACCAAACGTTTCCTGTAGTTGCAGATCAGACGTGCACAACGGTCAGGAGTAATTCTTGACCATTCCTCTTTACAGAACTGTTTCAGTTCAGCAATATTCTTGGGATGTCTGGTGTGAATCGCTTTCTTGAGATCATGTCACAGCATCTCAATCGGGTTGAGGTCAGGACTCTGACTGGGCCACTTCAGAAGGCGTATTTTCTTCTGTTTAAGCCATTCTGTTGTTGATTTACTTCTATGCTTTGGGTCATTGTACTGTTGCAACACCCATCTTCTGTTGAGCTTCAGCTGGTAGACAGATGGCCTTAAGTTCTCCTGCAAAATGTCTTGATAAACTTGGGAATTAATTTTTCCTTCGATGATAGCAATCCGTCCAGGCCCTGATGCAGCAAAGCAGCCCCAAACCATGATGACCCCACCACCATACTTTACAGTTGGGATGAGGTTTTGATGTTGGTGTGCTGTGCCTTTTTTTTGGCCACACATAGTGTTGTGTGTTTCATCTGTCCACATAATATTTTGCCAGTACTGCTGTGGAACATCCAGGTGCTCTTGTGCAAGCTTTTAACGTGCAGAAATGTTTTGTTTGGACAGCAGTGGTTTCCTCTGTGGTATCCTCCCATGAAATCCATTCTTGTTTAGTGTTTTACGTATTGTAGATTCACTAACAGGGATGTTAGCATTTGCCAGTGACTTTTGTAAGTCTTTAGCTGACACTCTAGGATTCTTCTTCAGCTCATTGAGCAGTCTGCGCTGTGCTATTGCAGTCATCTTTACAGGACGGCCACTCCTAAGACAATTTGTCTTACCGTTGACTGATGAACAGCAAGGCTTTTGGAGATACTTTTATAACCCTTTCCAGCTTTATGCAAGTCAACAATTCTTAATCGTAGGTCTTCTGAGAGCTCTTTTGTGCGAGGCATCATTCACATCAGGCAATGCTTCTTGTGAAAAGCAAACCCAGAACTGGTGTGTGTTTTTTTATAGGGCAGGGCAGCTGAAACCAACACCTCCAATCTCATCTCATTAATTGGACTCCAGCTGGCTGACATCTCACTCCAAATAGCTCTTGGAGATGTCATTAGTCTAGGGGTTCACATACATTTTCCACCTGCACTGTGAATGTTTACATGGTGTGTTCAATAAAAACATGGCAACATTTCATTCTTTGTGTGTTATTAGTTTAAGCAGACTGTGATTGTCTATTGTTATGACTTAGATGATGATCA